CTTTACTTTTTCTGCTTTTACCTTTCTCTCTGTTCCTTTTTGAGGATTCCCTTTTCCTGCTCGTGTTGTGTTCCAGGCCTGCCACCTGTCACCGTGCCACTGCTTTAGCCCCGAATGGCCCTTGAGTTGACAGATCCTCGTGCTGTCTGCACTGACGCCATTTCAGAAACCCATCTCCATGCTTCCTCTACAAAGGCTGAAGACACCCTGCTGGGTTCAGTGCGGAAAGTGTGCCCTGCAACCATCAGAAAGTTGCACCTTAAAAGCCCTGGCCTTTGGCCCGGAACCCTGGCAGTTGGGTCTGCTGCACCCTACCGCATCTTGATCCAGTCATTGAGGACTGAAGCCAGCAAGTCCTAGGGGATGACCTTCAGCTATAAGACAGCAGTGACAGAACCTCTGCAAAACAAGTGAGCTGCTTCATCTGTCCCAGGAGATGGGGGAGTGGAGAGCATCTAGGATCGTTGTTGTGACTGAGGTCTGGGGAAGGAATGGAGTAAAATAGCACCAACCTCTGGAGTACACCGTCAGGCTCCAGCCGACGCCCTGCTTCAAACCAGGCTCGTACTCCCTGCCCCACCCCCCGGCCACGCAGGCATGCATGGGAGCGGCGGCGCTTGCCTCTGCAGAGTGGGCACGCTTGCCATGCGCAAGGGCGGACGCAGGCGGGCTGCGTTTCCGGTGGACAGCGGTTACCACACGGTCTCCAGGGCTGACTGCACTGGGGATTTGTAGGATGGTTTTAGGAATAGCACCGATACCAGGGAATCAATTAGCTGTGATTTACTTCTATTAATTAGCTGTGATTTACTTCTATTAATTAGCTTATTTCCTTTTAAAAGTTACACATAAATAATGCATAGGTTGCCATGGGTAGGGAGGCACAGAGGGAATCGAGAGATAAATGAAAGAGCCGTCGCCTGCATTCCCAGCTGTCAGTCGGCATTCGTCTGTGTATCTGTGTATCTCATTCATTTTTCTTGCATACCTTTAGGCTTTTCAAAAATTGTTATCATTTAGTTTTATATCCTTCCTTTTGCTTTTAGCATCATGACATGTCTTTCCCCAACACTGCAAACTGCTCATAATTACAAATGCCTTTCATGGGTTTGAAATAGTTCTTTTGACATCTGTGGCATTTTTTACCTTCTTTTTGTGAAAATATGGGCTTGTTCAAATTTCTGCTGTTGTAAATACTGCCGTTGTGACCACCTCAGGGCTGAAAGGTGAATGAGAATCCTGTGAGGTTGTAGTATATGTCAGCCCTTGGGCTGGATCTTGTGTGGAATATATGGGGTCCTTGTCAAGAAAGTGACCACCTAGCTTGGGTATTGAAAACATATTCCTGTGTTAATCCTGAGCCCCTTGCTCCTTAATACTACAAAAGTGTACTATTGAACTAAAAAGATTCTTTTATGAAAAGCAGAACCAATAAAGGAATAAATATAAATATATTTGGTATATAGTATACTCCTAGTATGTACATTTATACCTTTAAATTACTGACAGTAATTGTCATGGAGAGGTTAAGTTTTTTTTTTGTTGTCGTTTTTTTGTGGCCCCTCAACATGCCTTGGGCGGGCCGGCATGCCATGTGGTGCCGGGATCGAACTGCAGTCCTTGCAGTTGCCTAAGCAGGTGCTTTAGACCACTGAGCTATCTCGCTGGCCCCTGAGATTAAGTTTAAACAATAATTGGTCTAATTCAATGCTATAGTAAAAATTTTTTTCATGTATTCCAAAATGTAGGTGTGTCCACTTAGAACCTGTGCATTGAATTGCAGCTAATGTTGCTGGCAGATTCTTTGAGCTGCAGCCCTGATTTTTTACACTTACTTTAAATTTAATGGAAATATATTCAATGCGAGCTGTGAAGTTCGCAGAAGTAGAAGAGACTCCGAAGGAATGTCTTGGGCTGGGCAGTGTGGTCAGTGGCTGGACATGTGCTCAGTATCCGTGTTGGTTCAGTCCCCAGTAGCGACCGGAAAGCCTCTTGTGTGTATGTGTGCATGTGCAAAATGGGGTACACTGCAGAGCGGGGGTCAGAGACACAGAAGGAAAATACAAATAGCCTATATGAAGGGTGCTTTCAGATGTCAGGACTGTGAGAACAAGAATCAAGTGTGCGCATCAGGGAACCAAGTAATTTCAAGCACAAGCAATGTAAATGGCAGGGCAGAACCTGCTGTGGCGCGCTTGCCTGGAGGAGGCCCAGCTCTGGGAGGCAGAGGCAGGAGAACTGCAAGTTCAAGCCCCGCCCGGGCAATGTGGCGACTCAGTAAGACCTTGTAAAGATAAAAGGTGACGAGAGCTGGGATGTAGCTCAGCGCAGAGGTCCTGGGTTCAGTGCCCGGTACCGTGTGTGTGTGTGTGTGTGCGCGCATGCATACACCAGTACACACACGCATGCATGGGTGCACACACGTTAGTGTACAGTAGCAGGGACTTTCTTGGAGTCCTGGCAGGATGACCCAAGTGCTCGCTCTCTGAGTGGACAGGGTTGCATCATGGCATGTGTTCTCTCCTTTCAGATTGATGATCCCAACAGCAGCTTTGTGGAGGCCATTGATGAGGCTGCAGCTGCCACTTCTGTGAACAATCTGGGAAGCCAGCAAGCCTTGAATGCAGATTACCTGGGTTCTGAGTATCAGCGTGGACAGCTGTACCCTTTCCCCCTCGACAGTGATGCCCACAGGGCCACATTCGCGCTCACAAATTCGGTTCCAATGACCCTGTCCTTCCAGGAGCGGTGGTACGCAAATCTCCACAGCCTGATGGACAGAGCCTTGCTCCCTCTCTGTGGCGATGGGGACGATCTGTATCTCCTTGCTGGCGCGGTGCCTTCCGAGCGCAGAGTTAAAGACAGAGTGACAGTGCCTGCTTTTGTGTGGCTGGCGGCCTGCTGCGCCGTGCCTGGGGAAGGCTGGGCCATGGGCTTTGTCAAGCATGTCCGGGACAGTGACCTCATAGAAGACGTGATGGTGAGAGACCTTGAGAAGCTGCTTCCCTCGAGCCCTCAGCTATTTCAGAACAACTGTGGCGAGCCTGAACAAGACACAGAGAAAATGAAAAAGATCTTGGAAGTGGTTAACCAGGTCCAGGACGAGGAGCGGGAGGTGCGCTCTCAAGAGAGCTCTGCTCCCCTCTCCAGCACCCAGAGCGAGGCGGGTGCGCTGTTGGTGCCAGAGGCACCTGAGGAAAGTAGCAGCCTTTTGGGGAAAGTTCTGGGGCTCCTCGCTACCCCGGTCATCAAGCTTTTCCAGTTAGTTTATTACCTGGGGGTAGCAGTTCTCAAGAACATTGTCTGCTTGCTGTGGTGTGTTACCAGGCAGGTGCTCAGCGGCATAGGAAGCTGCCTTTCCTGCCTGGGCTCCGCCATTGTGTCCTACTTGGTGGCCATTGGACAAGAGCTGCTGAGCATCCCCTGGAAGGTGCTCAGGGTCGTGGGGAAGGTTGTCCGGGCCGCACTCCGGGTCCTTTGCTGCCTGCTGAAGGTGGTCTGCCGCGTTCTGGGTGTGCCCGTGTACATCGTCCTGGATGTGGCCACATTCCCTGTGTACACCATGGGCGCAGTCCCAGCGGTTTGTAGGGACATTGCTGTCGGCCTGGGCGGCGCCCTCTCTCTGATCCTTGACGCTGCTTTTGGCACTATGGGTGGCCTATTTCAGGTGGTTTTTAGTGTCTTCAAGCGGGTTGGCTACAAGGTTACTTTTGACAATTCTGGAGAATTATAGAACTACAAAGCTGATATTGTATAGTCACAGTGAATTTAATATTTTAATAGGAGAAGCCGGAGTATTTTGTTTTTACAGTAGATTTCTATTCACTGTCAGTTATTATGTTTTCAACCTTTATTGGGGGTGTTTGCCTGTTTTTGCAGAGGAAAATAGCATAATTTACACTTGGCCTAAAAATGCTCAGAACGGGACTTAGTAGTTAGCTGTGCACGTACAGTTATGTGTGCAGACTTCCAGCCTACTAATAGCTTCAGTTATTCATTCTGAGACAGGTTGAAACCACTGAAACATTCTGGTGTTAACTTGTGGTAATTAGAAGTTTCATCTGAGGGAAGAATTAGAAAGAGGACAAGGTCAAAGTAAAAGGTCCCCGAGAAAAGGAGAAAGGAATCTTGTTCATCCCTTTCTTCCCTTGAGACTTAAGATGGAAGAGATCCACGTTTCGGTGGCCAATTTTGTAGCATTTGCTCCTCTTCACCCCAACTCAGGTGACTTTGGTGAAGGCAGATGCTTGTCTGTTGAAGTGACTTCCTTCTGCATATGGACTCTGCTAGAGCTCATCGCTTCCTGTGGTTCTCAAGGACTTGTTAGATTTATATTTTCTTCCAAAATTGAGTTTTGCTGCATTTTTCTTTGAGGTAATTATAAGCACCTTATGCCTGTGTGGCATAACGAAGTTGGAATGCAGGCTTGGAGTAAATAGTCCTCGTAGCTGTAAAAAGGGAAAGTGCAGGCGCCAGCCCTGCCCTTGGAGGCATCCGTAGCCAAGCTGGACTAACTTGACTTACACTGAATCAATGGCTGATAACTGAGCTCGGAGAGCTCCATGAGAAGGGCAGTATGAGAATTCGTATTCTGCAGCGTACACGATCTCCCTGATGCATCAGATGCGTACCCAGAGCGGTAAAATGCTCTCAAGTGACTGTTTTCACAGGACTATATAGAAAAAAGACACAAAATAAAAGATATTCTGGCTATGTTAGAAAAAGATGTGTCTAAAGAATTTAAGAACATTATTTCCCAGGAGCTTATTTTTATTGAGGCTATAAAGCATGATTATTAATGAAAATTAAATTTGGGAGCTAATTCTTAATTTTTTGATCAAGCACGTGTCAGTTTAAAGTGTGCACTAAAAATGATAACAAGAGGAATCAAATTTTACTTTGCCTTCCACAGCTGGGATGGAATCGCCAGAACTTTTCTAAGTGCTCGGAAGGGCCGCTGTAGGAAAGGGCTGTGTGGATTCTGATCTTGGAGCCATAGCCCGTGATGAAAACAGTTGAGGGTCCAGCAAGGGAACAGAGAGCAGAGTGGCACCCATGTGTTTGGGGCTGGTGGGGGAGGGGTATGAGTGTGACAAGAGGCCCCCTTGCAGCAAGATTGTTGCCTTACCCCAGAGTGGCGTAGCGCCAGCACGCTGGCGTGCTGCTCAGCTCAGGATCCAATCGCATGGAGGAGTCTGAGCCCCGGCTTGTCTGTGCTAACAACAGACTGAGGTGCACTGGTGTTCTCGAGGACCCCAGGCAGTACTTCCTAACTCTGCTTTGGGGAAATGAAGGGGGAGGGTTGGCTTTGGGTTCAGTGGGTTCCTAATGCCGCTAGACGAAAGGAAAGACTTAGAAGTGGCCGCAGACAGCCTGGCCCTCCCGTGTCTGCCGAACCTGACACCCAGGGAAGCCAGCTCATGGCCCTGAGCGGGTCAGGAGCCACTACCCCCGCCACACACCCCTGGGACGTCTGCTGAGGAGGTGTGTGCTGCGGCTCTGGACTGTCTGCAGGGTGTTCTTCACGTGTCACACAGATTCGAGGCCCTCAGCGAGCCACTGGAATTGGCACGTGCGACGAAACGCCATCCTTGCCTGGGGCCTCCTTCCCTCACAGTTTCCTCAGCCCGTTCTGAGAGGCCCACGGAGGCATCACGGCAGGTGGGGCCTCGGGGCGCTGTGCAGCGAGCAGGGTGCCCGGACTCCTTTGTGAGAAATGTCCTCCGCATCTCACTGGCTGCTCAGTGTCTGTTTATGCAGCCTGCGTGGTCCTTTTGGACATCTGGGGAGCCTTAGGGTTGGGCAGTAGAGTCCTGTGCTGTGGATGGCAGCGTCCGTGGTGCCTCAGGTCCCCAGAACTGGCTGTGCTGGGCTCGGAGCCCCACCCAGCCCTGGGCTACTGGTTTGTTTTCAGGGAGCAACTCGGGTCTTTGAGGTGGAATTTGGGTGACTGAACCCTGTCTCTGGCTCGAAGGCTTTGCTGTGGCTCTGTTGTGTTTCCAGACCCTGGAGAAGCAGCCAAGTCCGTGTCTGTGGCGCTGATTGTTCAGCTGTGGATCAGCCACGCCTCTGGACCTGCTTTTCTGCTGTGCCTGCTCCGTGCCAGCTTCGCCCTCAGCCTCAGCTCTGACGCTGGCTGCACACTGAGGTGGCGGGAGGAGTAGCTGTGAAGCGCGCTTCAGCTCTGTTGCTCCTCATGCAGCAAGCATGCGTTTAGTCCTCAAGGCTGCAGAAATGAAAAATGCGTGCATTCCATCCTGAGGCGTTCGAGATGGGGTGGGCACAGCCAGGGCGATCAAGGAAGCCTTAACGGAATGGGGCAAAACCAACTTGGTATTTGCAAGCTGTGTACAATGCTGTGTACCTTGCAGATGCTCAATAAAGTAACTACTGGCAACTCATTAGCGTTCTGTAAAAACCTAAAAGGGGGGAATTTGAATGACTGAAATGGGGCTTGGGGAATAGTTGCAATTTCGAGTCCCATCTATTTTTGTTCTTTTTTTTAAAGTGGTGCATCATAAATGAGAAAACAAGTTTGGATCAGTGAAACACAGCTTAGAGATACGTTAAATTTTTTTTTAATCTTTTGTTTATTTGGTATAGGGTCTCACTATGCAACATGGACTCGTAGTGATCCACTTGTGTCAGCCTCCCCAGCACTGGGATGACAGGTATATGCCACCATGCCCGGTTTTGGTGGCTGGCACAGCGTGCCCACAGTTCAGGGCCCTACACAGCATGCATTACTGGGCATCGAACCTGGCTAGGTCCTTGTGCTTGCCAGGGAGGCACTTAGACTGCCAAGCTATCTTCCAGCCTAGAGCTATTTTTTAATGTTATTCTTGCACTAAAATCAACATCAAACGTTTATTGCTTCACTGAAACTGAGTACACAGAAAATTATAGGAACACTCTTGTTTTCCCACTAAGAAGCCACAGTGTGCGAAAACACACACACTCGCTGCAGGGGGCCCTCATCCTGCGGCCTTTAGTAGGGTGCCCCTGGGGTGGGGGTGGCAGTAGTTCGGGCCGCCGTCGCGGGGTGGGGAGGGCCTGAAGCGAGGCTGGAGGAGCGTCCTGCCACGCGCACAGGCACGCGCGGCGTGGGCTGCTTGCCTTTGCTGGCTTCTCCCCGGCGTTCTGTGGGCTCCTCCGCCTCAGCAGCTGTGGCAGCCGCGGTCCCTGCCCTCGGGGGTCAGCGTGTCGCCTCGGGGCTGCCGGAGACCGCCCTGGCTCGGAGTGCACAGGCTCGCACCCTGGCTCCCCGCTGCGCGCTGCTTGGTGGTGCTCTGGAAGCGCTGGGCCTGCCGCTGTGGCAGGAATAGTCACCTGTCTTTTTTTTTGGGGGGGGGGCTTTCACAAAGTTTGTTAAATTCTAGTTTAGTTTAACAATATCTGATTTTATAGACACCAGCCCATGGTAAGCATGTTTACTGAGTGAAAGCCATTCAGACATTTCAGGCCTCATTTTCTGGGGACTAAGCACTGTGGATAACTGCACCTGCTCAGAGTTGTCCTACAAGGCGTTATCAAACTATCCCTGCTAATAATATTTGATACCGTGCAGCTAGTGACTGTAGTTCTCACATAATTTAATTGTAAGTGCCTTACTGAGATAACATTTTGATGGTTTCAGTGAACTTTCCAAATTAATATATTTAAGAAAAATATAGGGTGAAAGGAAAATTGAACAGGAAGAGATGGTTATAAAAGGAAAAACAAGTGGAATGTTGAGGTGGAAAAGTCAAATTTACACAACTTGCAGGAAGAGATCAAGTATAGATTTCACAAACCAAAAATTTAACCCAGTGCAACAGTAATCCTCTTTAAAAGCTGAGTTAGGGGGCCGGGGAGAGCTGAGTTCAATCCCTGGTTCCACCAAAAAAAAAAAAAAGCTGAGTTAAAACTCATATGCTAAAGTATTACTTTGGGCCTTCAACAGTACCTAGTCTTTGATCAAAAAAGGTCACAACAGTTAAATGAGTGGAATGACTTGATTTTGTTTTGCACTAGGTGGTTGGCACAGAGTGATTCTCCTTAATAAAGTTGACAGCTTCACTCAGAACATTTTTAATGCACATTAAAAGTATTCATCTTAAAAATGGTTCTGTAATCCAAATATACACCAGCTGGGAAAACAATGCTTATTATTTTATTTTATTTGTGGTACCAGGGATTGAACTCAGGACCCTGTGCTTGCCAGGCAAGCACATATTCTACTGAGCTATCTCCCCGGGCCTGGAAAACAATGTTTAGAAAACGAAAGCCAATGTAAAAAGACAGTAAAACAACTACAACAGTCCAGGTTTTTTTTTTTTTTTAATTTATTTATTTATTTGAGAGAGAGAGAGAGAGAGAGAGAGAGAGAGAGAGAGAGAGGGTGTGTGTGGCCAGCTCAGCCCACCAGGGGGCGGGGCTGGCTGGCATGTGGTGCTGGGGGATTGAACAACGGTCCCTGATGCTTTGCTAAGCTTGTTCTAAGTAGGTGCTTTAGATCACTGAGCCATCTCTCCAGCCCAACAGTCCAGGTTTTTATGACTCAGATTCTACAGTTTTCTTATTGCATCATCGATGTCAAAAATCTGCTCCTTCAGCTGGCTCCACTGCTCTGGATTTAGAGAAATACTTTTTCATCCTGGTTTCATTTTGCCTTCTGGATCCATCCAGTATTCTCTAATATCAATTAGAACTTTCCCTTTAAGCCCCTCAATGCTGACATGTCTCAGTTTCCTATCTGAAACATGTTATCGTCTCTGCTGCTCTGCTCAGAAGGTGACAGATTGTTTTTTTAGAGCAGTATTTATTTGTTCATTCATTTTTTGAGACAGGATCTCACTAGTTTAGGCTGGTCTCAATCTTGTCTCTCTCAGCCTCCTGACTTTATGGCAGTTTTATTCAAAATTGCCTAATGGGGAAGCAACTAAGGGTCCATCATAGGTTAAGTGAACACGTGCCGGAGCACCTTGCCAGTGGAGTATTAGCCAGCACTAAAAACAACTGCTTTTCAAAGAAGCCCAGCCCAGCGTGGGGGTGCTCCCCTGGAGCCCCAGCAGGAGGTGGGGGAGCTGCAGGCCTGAAGATTCAGAGCTATCCTGGAGGAAGATGCAGGATCATCTTCACAGCAGAAGTGAACTTTGCTGGGTCAAAGCTGTCGAAAAGCTACACTGCAAGTCCTCGGCATTGTAGAGCAGCAAAGCCACAGAGATGTTAGATTGTCCGCGAGTGGGAGCGTGTCCAGATGGAGCAGCAGGGAGGCTCGGGGCAGCGAAGCTGACACCACATTGGAGACGCCAAGTATTTGCCGAAGCCCACGGAATGGCTAGACCTGGAGGTGCATGCCTACGGTCCCAGCCACTTGGGCGACTAGGGCAGGAAAATCACAAAGCCTGCTCAAAGGCAGGCTTGGCTACTAGATGAGATGCTGCCTCAAAAAATAGTTATTTCATTTTTTAAGACGTGGTTTACTGTGTAGCTCAGGCTGGTCTTGGACTTGCAGTGACCCTCCGGCCTCAGCCTTCTGAGTGGTGGGAGTATAGCTCTACGCAGGCCACCACACCTGGCCATAGTTTTGTTTTGGGGGAACTGGGGGTTGACCTCAGGCCCTTGCACTTGCCAGGGAAGTGCTTATTCTACTGAGCCATCTCCCTATGTTTTTTTAAGGATTTTTTTGTTGTTTTGGTTTGCTCCGAATGCCCTCAGGGCTTGTGTGGCTGGCTGGAGAGTTGTGGGGATCGAACTAGAGCCACCTGAGGCTGATAGCTTGGTGGAAGCAGCCACTTAAAGAACTGAGCCAGGGCCAGGCCCCCTCCCTATGTTTTTTTAAAGCCTCTTTTTTTAATTTTATTTTATTTTTTCCTTAAAGCCTCTTTTAATGAGGATTTTTTTAGGGAGTGCTGGAAATCGAACTCAGGACCTTGTGCTTGCCAGGCAAATGCTATACCATGGAGCTATATCCCCAATCTAAAACAATGTTTAAAAAAGGCCCAAGGGCCAGCCAGACCGCTCAGTGGATTGAAGCATCTGCTTAGGCTGACCAGAGACCAGGGTTCGATCCTCCTGCCATGTCAGGCTGGCCCTGCCCTGGGGCGAGGCTAAAATGTGGGCGTGGTGGTGCGCACCTGTAATCCCAGCGCTTAGGAGGCTGAAATGGGAGGATCACTAGAGTCCAGTCTGTGTAGTGAAGCCCTGTACTAAATGCAGTCAGACCCATTGGTCAGGTGCCCCTGAGCCTAATCCCTGGTACTGTGGACAAGATAGAATGAACCCTGATGTGAGCCACAGGCTCCTGCTCAACTTTCCTGCGAACCTACCCTGTTCTAAAATCTATTGCTTAGAAGCGAGAGCCAGGCATGGTAGCACACATCTGGAATTCAGCATTCGGCAGGCTGAGACCGGCGATCACTGCAAGTTCAAGGCCTGCCTCAGCTACAGGGAGTTCGTGGCTGGCCAGAGCTGTGTAAGACCCTGTCTCAAAATAAATAAAAACCAAAAACCCCGATAGCTACATATAGGCTAATATATTAATTACAACAAAAGCAAAGCAAATTGTTCCTGAATAATAAGCAGCTAAGAGGCCTGGCTCTTGGTCCCAAGGGACACCAGCGACACGAGGGCCCGTCTGCGCAGCAGTGCCGCCGTGTGCCCTGTGGCCGCCCTCCTGGTACCCTGGTAGAGAGGGCAGGAGGCATGAGTGTACTTACTTCCTGATTTTTAGACAAGGATCAGAAGGTGGACAGCTTTCTTGTCCGGTTCTCAGTCACCTTCAGATCACGACACTTTCACCAAAGACTTAAGGTAGCATATTTTGGAGTGACATGCTCTGGTCTCCTACAGGATGTCTCATTTTCTCTCCCATAATTATTTTCCTCATCTTCTTATTCCTCTCAACACGCTCAGGACATAGCAGGTTATCGTCTGTTTCTGGGGATGGGAAGACACAGGCTGGTGACAGAGTGGAGTCATTCTCCTGGGGGTGTCAGGGACCCAGGTGTCACCCACGCAGAACGACAGGCGAACCCAGCTCACCACATCGGCAGCACGAAGCTGGCTGTGGACCACACACCACCTGCCACCAGGGGCTAGCAGCAAGAAGGCGTCCACTTTACTGGAAGTGGGACAGGAAGCCACAGCCCTGGGCTGACCAGCTCAAGCCGCTAGCATGGGCCCCTGAGCAGAAGTCACCACTTCACCACCTTGGCCCCCATCTTTTTCAGACTCCTCTCCAGACCTTCCACAGGCTCTTGCTCTTGGTCCCCGCCCTGCGTTTCCTGAAGCTTCACTGAAGCTCGGGCTCTTGGAGGTCTTGGGCACCTCACATTGCTGTTGGGGGTGCGTGTGCTTCTGCAGCTGCGAGTGGACCTCAGTGTTCCAGCCGTCCTGGTCAAGTTGCGCCGCT